CAATCTCCAGATTTAAATATAATAGAAAACTTGTGGGCTCGTCTTGAAACGTGCGAAAACATAGTATTTCGTCGAAAAAGGGCCTTTTAGATGCCTCACAAGCGGAGTGGCATGCAATTCCATCAACATATACCTGCGGTTTGCTAGAATCAATGCCAAGACGTCTACCAGCAGTAATTTCTGCGAAAGGAGGCCCAACAAAATATTAATTTGTTATTTAAGTTAATTTTAGTTTAGTGCGCTCACTTTCACTGTGACATAGATTTATGAATTATTTTAGTTTTTGTTGATTTTTTTATAGTAAACAAAGGAACTATTTTATGTACGTGATGAATTACTGAAGCTTAATATTCAAACAATAAATGACCATAAAAGTTGTTTCAATCTGTGTTGTTTTTCATTATTTTTTCACATAATTCTGCTAACTAGATAGTGTGGCTCACTTTGACTGTGACTCACTGTATATCTTAGATTTGGTGTTCATGGCCTAATATGCATATATATATGTACATTTGATTAGGTATTTAATCACTCACTGTCGAGGAGCTACGTGCCGCTGTAGGAAAGTCATCGCATCCATGTACTTCCAGTTACTAATGTCTTTCGCGGCACTGCCAGAAGCCCCTTTTCCTACGTTGACTTCTTTTACGTAGCGATCGCGGAGAGACCTCCACCTACCTTGGCATTGTTCCACTGTCATTTTAAATAATTATTTATAATGAAATCCTTTATATTTTATAAATTTCCATTTACCGCTGGCACCGGCAGTAGCCGCCACATTGTTCCATGCCTTTTCTTTGGCCAGCTTGTTGCGGTAACCCACAATTGATTTATCGAAGAGACATGGATGCATTTGTACAGCCTCGATTAAGTTGAATTCCATAGCGAACACAAATAATTCGATTTTATTTTAATTTCGCGCACTCGTTCGTGGAAATGGCGGGATGTAGAAGAATAGCGAAAATGGCGTTTGACATTTGTGTCGTACTTACCGTACGCCAAAAGTAGAGAGTAGAGTGACTTTCGTCCGGTACGGCAACTCATACGTCGCCTATCTGACGCTCTCTATGCAAACACACACAGTCTACTTAACTGTCTGCTTCATCCTTGAGCGGAACGTACGCAAAGTACCCATTCTGACGGGGCCTTTAGGTTGGCCTGTTAGTAATGTAAATTTTCAATACTTTAAAGTATCGATCGATACTCGATACTGTGGAAACAAGTATCGAATAAATGTATACGATACTCGATACTTTTACATTATTCCGTTAAAAATCCCTTATACCAAAACCGACAAAAATCTTATGACTTTTATCCTTATATTCTGACGCATAGCGACTCTGTTTTGGTAAAAATGTTTTCACTCGAAAACATTGCATAGAAACTACTGAACTGCTGTTGAAGTCTATTGTTACACTTATACTTACCATAAATAATTTTTAACTATTTCAGCTATTTGGGGATATATTTTTCCTATTCTTTCCACCACGCGAGCGGATCTCGATGTCTCTCCAATAAATATTCTTAAATATATTGATTACCCTCGACTATGGCAGACGCTAAAAAACTTTTGTGAGCTTCCTTAGATTTTTGATCAAAATCACTCCAAAGAGAATTGCCGTTTGTTTGATCCACATTGTGATTATACACTGCTCTTCAACCATTCTCCATTTAAACATTGTAAATTTTGAAACCCGTTACTCTGCTTTGGCAACGCTTGTTATGAAAATATATTTTAACGATGAAATTTGAGTATCGGCATAATTTTTTCAATACTCATCGAATACTCAAATCGCCCAACCGTTTCAAATACATACTATTCGTTACTCGATAATTTTCACTTCACTAACCCGTATCGTTTCATCCCTATTCGCAAGATGTCGATCGATTGGGTGCTGCGGTCGATTTTTCAATCTAATTTAATTCGGCATACTAATCCCTAAACTAAATTTAACGTTTAATATTAAGAAGTTAAATAAAGAAGCAACTGACTGATTTGGAATAAATTGGTACGCGAGCATCACCTTTAAAAAGGATAGTCGGCTTTGAAGCGCGTGAAATAAAAGGATTTGGGCGCAGCTCCAATCCCAAAAGTGGGAAAATCGGTGTCGATTTGATTGTGTTACAGAAAAGGGCGTCGAAAACTGTTCGTCAAAACTCAAAAATTCGCAAATGTTAGTGCATAACTATATAACAAAAACTAAACGCGTACTTCTTTTTAAAGATTAATTTATAGTGGAATTTCGGTCGAATGTACACAATGCAGTTCGAATAATGTGATAATACATACATATGTGCATACATATGTAAGTATATTCTTTGTTTTTTGTGAGTTTGCGTCTGATTAACATAAGTGTTTTTAGAAAACGAAAATAAATTGCAAGATGGAAATGGTTGTCGAAGAGCCCGATAACAATTTCGGCTTCCCTGAAGCAGGGACATGGAACAATACGAGCCATATACCTTTGGAAAATATGAAAATTGATGCGCCGATGGTACGTAAACAAATTGTAAATTAGTTTATAGTTCAGCGGGAAAATATTTGGGTAATGTCTAGTTATTTTACAATGATTTTGTGGGGAAAATTTTAGTA